GGTGGATGGATTTGTACATGGGTTCAGTGACTACGGCTACGTCCAGAAGCCCAGGAGGGGCAGCACAGCGACTTGGGTTAGGTAGCAGCCTCAAGCATTCCCGGAGCAAACATGGCTGGCCGCAAGCGACCTGTCACTCACGTTGACATGCTGAACCATCTCGGGGCGAGCGAACGGGTTCCTAAGAGGCACCCGATCAACCGAGTTACTAACGTGTGCGGCGTGCCAACGAAGGAGACCAGGCGCGAAGTGCAGAAGCGTGGCTGCACGTGGAAATCCTGCGCAGCTGTGCCGCTGCGAGCCTGCGTCTCTCCTGGCGTTTCGGCTCCAGATGTACGTGACGCTGGTGAGCCTTACCCGGACCCAGCGAATAGGATGGGACCTGAATCAAACGGGCTTTGAATTATCAGATCATGTACAAACAGCAAGGAGCAGGCATCTTGATCGATGGTGTCAAGGTGTGTAAGTGTGTGTGGGGATAACCTTTGGACAAGAAACTAATGGTTTTGGAGGGGGAGGAATCAGACTTTGAGAGTGACAGACAGCGCCTTTGAGAGAAGCAGACCTCCAATAGTAAGATCCGGCGAGATGCTACCCAAGAGGGCCAAGTCGTGGAGATGGTTCATTCAACTGAGTCTACGGATATGTCACGGCATTGTTCGGATACCTTAGAAGAGAATTCGGGATGCAGGCAGAATCGGCAACTGAGAGAAATGACTGACGGCAAGAGGTGCCAGTTGATTGACCTCGGATAAGATAAGATAAGCAGCGGATCTGAGTGGACGAAGGAAAGGCCGGTGGCTTCCATTCCTGCCCCGACTTCTCCAAGAAGCCGTAGCCCCACAAGGTCGGCGTTGGCCGGTACATGTGGGCACGTATCTCCTTCCCCCTCACGCCGGGACAGGACCCGAGGGGAAAAGTCTCGAGACTCTTGACCAAGTCTTCAAATGGACCTATGGCGACCCGGTCATTACTCACTGTGGATCCAGGCTCGTGCACGCCAGTCAGTCGCCAGGCCCAACATCCGGATTCCGGGATTGGCCGAACGGGGGAAAGGGCAATCTTGCGACTCTGCAGACTGGTCCCCCCCCGTGCCCCCCTTCACTCCAGAGTCTCCCATCTGCCATCACCATTCCTTTTCCAGCCGACTCTTCCACTCGCCCCCTGGCTCTCCCACCCCTCCCACATCCAGTTTGGCGGGCCACAGGTGAGTCGACGTCAGGATTTATCTCACACAAACTTGCATCCGATGCCTACTCGACCGCCCTCCCCCACTGCGACTTGACTCGACACTCGACACTCGACAGCCAGAACCAGGGCACACGCGAAGCACTCCGACGCACGCCGCATTCTTCCCGACGTACAGCAGCATCCCGCAGCAAAGACTCAGTCAGCCAACTTCCTCATCCCCATCCATCCCGCCCGTATCGCGCCTGCGCTGCAAGTCTGCACCTCCACGCCGATCACTCATCCGAGTCCACCCCAAGGCGCTTCCGCGATCGAAATACCGCGCGCAGGATCGAGACTGGCTCTTCACCCGCCAAGCACCATATATCACCCACGATAACGACTCTCCTACATTCATCGCTACTCGTTCCCCGGAACGACGTTTCTACACGCTGACGAGCCGACAAACAACGGAATCCCAAGTCTGAGTGTCCCCTCTCGCTGCGGCTCCTCATTTCTCTTCCCCGTGCGAAACCGTTTTGCAGTGCAAGCTTGGACGTCTTGCCCCAGGATCGACCCGGCTCGGGCACGGATGACAGCATAAACCCCAGCAACCTGGAAGGATATCATACCAGAGAATAGGGGTCCCCAACCGAAGCACTTGCTTTTTACCCTTTCGTCGGCGGAACCTCCCCGTCACGTCGTACGTCAAAACACGGCAATCTCCTCCCTCTTCTGCAACGACATACGCACGACCGGGTGCGGCTTCGATCTGCACACTACCAAAGGCGACCGATGACATCGCCGTCCGGCACATTCACGATGCCTTCTCAACGACCTTTCTTCCTCTCCACTTTCTTCAACTCATTTAGACAACAGTCTCCCTCGGCGGCTGCGCTATCATCGCAACAACCGAACAAGCATACCACACAGACATCATCGTCATCGTACGCCACACAGTCCGCCGCTTCAGCGCCACGAGCCATCTCCTCGAATACATCACCAAGTAGCGGTGGGAACAATGCGAACACCAACTCGACAGCCCGGTCGACATCAGGAGTCGTGAACCAATACCCATTACATTCCCCGCGCGGGGGTATCCCTATTCCCGGCAGCGCGAACCGACGGCGCGGAAGCGACAGCAGCAGCGAGGGATTCCGCGATGTGCTGGGTGCCGATAAGTGGTATATTGGAGGGCGGACCGCCGGTGGCGAGGAAAAGTTCTTCAAGCTAGGCGTCGTTCGGAGAGTGCGCAGTAACGACGGCCTGAGTCTGGATCGACTGAGTTTATAGAAGTAAACGACCGTGGCGACGGCGGCAATGACGACGGATGACGGCGAAACGGATGATCGAAAGAATGAAGATATGACGAGGGCTTTCAAATATGACTTGGGTATATAGGCGGAACCAGGGAAACGGCATCATCAACGAGCCCCCTTCACGATACATCCGGGAAGGGAATATATCGAATAAACCCCCATACTTATGGGGTCACTGGCGTTTGGAAGGGTTATGGCTTTTCTTTTTGTTGAAACAAATAGCAACCTGAAAAATGGTTAGAGCACACACGTGAGAGTGCAAGAGAAAAGCATTGAGTTGAGCAAAATAACTGGACAAGAAGTCACATTACAATTTTCTACCTCGTTTCTTGTCCATACTTTTGCGATTATCAGCCACGAGATGGTGATTCTCTAATATGAGGGAGTGATACCTCTACCACATGAAGCGTTGCATCCGCCCATTTTCCAAGACCCTGCCATCTTCTGCTCTCCACAGATACGGCTTGGCGAGGAATATGTACATGGTAACCAAGTTGACAAGCACGAACCAGAGAGTCTCTAGAACGAGCCGCACATCAAACTTCTTCCCGAACGTGACCAAAGCGCCAAGGATAGGGATCCCCGCCATCGTTGATAGCGCTGGATTCGTGGCTGCGTGATCGTGGAGCTTCCACGCCGGGACGAGGATGCGCCAGAAGACCCAGGGGAGGATGAAGTAGCGCGGTTCAACAAGGGGGGCCGTCATGAGCGAGAGGGTCGTTGCGAGGAGGAGGAGGATTGCGGTTGATGAGGCGGTTGGTTCTGTGGTGTATGAGGTCTCATCGGCGAGGGTGATTATCGCGTACGGGTTGTGACGATCCTGGGTCTCTTTTCCTTCTGCGGCTATGATGGGTTCAGGGTTGTCCAAAGGATCTGTTGCAGGGGGTTTTCCTTCGCGGTACGGGGTTGCGGTGCTAAAGGGGTTATTCTCCCATGGTCCGGGACGAAGCGTAGTGTACCGCCCCGAGCAATCTGCGGTATGATCCGAGAGGAACCCGCCCTGGCCGCAGCCGCCGAGGGCGTCCCAGCATAGCCAGCGGGCGAGGGTGTAGGGGACGACGAGGTAGTAGCGGAACAGCCCCGGGCGGCGGATCGTGTAGCGGAAGATGTAGAACATGTAGTGTCTGTTGTCTGCGAGGGTGAAGGGGTGGATGATGGTGTTGAACTTGACGACGAGCAGGGTTAGGATGAGGAGGGCGGGTGTGAGAAGGAGGTTGTAGAGTTTGGATCCGATGAGGGCTTGGAGGGCGGTGAGGATGAGGGAGGTTGAGGGGGTGGTTGCTGAGGTGTATTGTTCTGTTGAGTCTTGGGCTTGGAGTTTTTGTTTTTTGGAGGAGCTGTCTTGTACAAGTCCGCTGAGAGCGTGCTTGCGTCCGGGGGTACTGTTGCTAGATGTTTCAAGCTTGGTCGTGTTCGTTTTGAAGAGGGTACAGTAGAGACCATGGACGAAACGGAGGACTCCCACGGCGGAAGGAAGAAATAGGGGGAAGGAGAAGAAAGCGAAGAGGGGCCAGATGTAAAGCATTTGGGCGAGGTGGATTGTTGCGACATGGTTGGATTTATCACCTAACGATATGTTAGTCCATGTATAACTCGAGTTGAGCAGTGATACATACCGAGTACAACGCCACCGTTCCAGGCAACAAAGCCAGCGAAAAGGGCCATGGTGGCGATATGCGGATAGATCTTCTTCAGTACGCGAAGAGGGTTTGCCAGGGCTGCGATGCCGATGCTCAGGGCGGAAATGAACAAGTCTGGCTGTGTTAGTGGAACCCCTTACACCCCTCTTCCCATCAGACTTACCATCTGGCCAGGCAGTGTTTAGAGACGGATCATGGACATCCCCAACAGAGTACCTCCACGCGTAGAATTTCACAACCTCGCCAAGTGTTGTCACGCTAGGCTTGGCCACCGGATCAGGGCGCAGAGACTTTACGGCGGCGACGGCTTCCAAGCCGCCCATGTACACGACCACCCAGAAGACATTGGTTTGTCTCATGACAAGCGTCAAGACGCCGAGGACAATGGTAGTCCAATCACTCAAGAAAGAGCTGCGCTCCTCGCGGACGCGGTGGAGGTGGTGATAGTAGGCGACAAGGACCGACAAGGTTGAGACGACGTCGGTGTAGTACAAACCCGAGAAGAAGAAGAGAACGGGGAAGAGGGCGACGTTCCAGCCCAAGTGAATGGAGTGGAAGGAAAGCACGGCTGGCGGTGCCGGGGAGTTTGCGTCGGGGCGACGGGTCTCGAGGAGGTGGCGGCAGTGGGTTGCCAGGATACCGACGCCGAGGACGGCGATGATGTTGACGCCGCGGAGGTCGAGGACGGAGCAGCCGGGTCTCATCATCACTTGTAGGTAATACTTGGATAAGATGTATCTGGGGAATTGTGAGCCGAGGAGGTAATCGACATCAGTGGCAATGGCGACTTACAAGCCGGGAGGGGTGGTAATTTTGTCATCCCACTCATCCCATCTTCCCTGGCAGAATTTCTGGGCTTGAGGAATATGAAAGATCTCATCCTGTGTCTTGTCAGTATGTGGGAATGACATCGATCTGAGGTACGCGGATAGGGCTTACCAGGTAAGGCTTGTCGACTTGGGCCATGACATTGCTGCACCAGATCCAACCGAAGATAAAAATGATGATGTACGAGACGCGCATAAGCACATCATAAATCTTGTTTGTCTTAGGACCCGAAGGGTCAGGGTTGGGCATCTTGGGGGTGATGAGCCATAGTAGAGAGTAGAGAACGACGACAGACAGGATGTTGAGTCCGTCGACAAAGGCTTCAACGGCCTTCATCCTTGATGTGAGGTGCCCGGAAGGGCAGATGAGATAAATTGGCCTGGCTGCGTGTTCTTGTCGGCGTCGTCGAGGTGTAGTCACTCAAGATATGCAAGGTAGGAAGAAGTCAAACTGAAAAGACTGTCGTAAAAAAAGATGAATGAGCCTCGACTTGGGGAAAGCAATGAGTGTTGTTTGCTGTAGCAAACGGTCTCTTACACAGACGAGTGAGGTGAAAGAAAGTGAACAGTTCATCGATTGGCGAGGATGCAGCAATTACGCGTCTTCGCACTGTTTGTGCACGGCCCCATCGTTCCTAGCCGTGATTAAGCTGCTGCTCCAAGAAAGGGGCAAATCAACTTCACAACAAAAATGTTCCAGCCAGTTATTCAGCAGGAGATGATATAAAGCAAAGTCATAACGCATAAGGGCATGTTCAGGTTTTGAATCACGGCCTTATTCTCAAAAAGTCTATTGTATCTTTTATACAAGCCCCGAAGGGTGGGCATCCATCCATCCCAACACATCATTCAACCATGCTCGCCCCATTTTCAGTAGTAGAGAAGCATAGCCGGGTCATAAAATGTATTTAGAATGGCTAGTAGTCCAATGTTAGCATGACGACTTGGCAGCTTACAATCTCGAGGGAGGCTCACGTTGTCAGAGGCAGGGGGAACCTCCTTGGCGAACTTGGGGCCAACAATGGGGATCTTCTATAGAAGACATTAGCTATCAAGCGAATCCAATTCATAGACCGTGTCTGCCTTACAATAAGGATATCGTTTTGGATTCTGGGAATGCCGGAGGTGTAGAAGAGGGCAGCAACACCGGCGGTAGCACCGAAACCAGCAGCGCGGGTTCCGCTAGCAAAGGATGTCAGTAAAAGCATCCCTAGTCTTTCAATTGTGTTTGTTCCTGTTGAAAGGCAGCATCCGGTGTCCTTCATTCAACCCATGTCATCTTTTGCAATGCCGTGTTTCCCGAAAGTGGCAATGGTAGTTTGCACTTGCGCCGAGAGTCGGGATTGTGGCCTCCGGGTGCCATGCGAAAAGTCCATAGGGCAACTCACAGCTTAACGACGGAAGCAATGGTCCAGCCACCAACGTTGGGGATCGTGTTGTACCTAGAGTTGACCAGTCAGTCCACTGTTCTATCGGTCCTTCGTTTGTCGTGTGAATTCCTCTCGCGGCCTGGGGAAATGGCCAGCCGTAGTTGGGACGAATCAATCGCAAGGGTATCGGTCAACGTACTTGGGTCCGAACTTGCTGCGGAAGGCAGGGTACAGAGTACCGACGCGGGCCTGGATCGCAGTTTTGTCAGAATTTCCTCATGTCTGGAAGTACTCAGGGGC